GGGGGGGTATCCCTTCCGGGCACGGGGACTCTATCGCTGTCCAGCCTCGCGGATGCGGCAGGCCACAGCAGTGATGAGGGCCGCCCCCTTCCCACTGCCGTCCTCAGACTGCAGGAAGGACACGTCGCATCTCGGGGCCAGCTCCTTCACTGTCTCGTGCATGACTTTGGCAAAGCTGGAAAAGACGAGGGGAAGACAGAAGAAAAACACCTTAGTCACTAGTGATGGGTGCCAGTGAGGGTGTCAATCAGTGGTGTTCGGAACCCAGAATCCCAGGGAGGAGGAGAGGGGCAGCCAGAGACGGGGCCCCCCAACAGTGTCCAAGAGCACTGCCTCACAACAAAGACTCAGCCTTAAGGGGCGGCTTCGGGACATCATCACAGCCAGGGGAGGCTTGACGGGCCCGAAGAAGTCCTTCACTCCAGAGAAGGTCAAGGCTTGGACACCAAATTCTACAGTGAGGACTGCTGGGTTTAGGGACCGGAGAGCCAGTTACGACTCTTTGTGACCCCTCAGAACCCAGAGAGGGGCCAGGCATCCACACACAGCACAGCAAGGAGCATCCACGCCTGGGATCAGCCAGAAAACCAGGGAGCACGAGTGTGCGTTCCAACAAAGAGGTGGCTGGTGACAGCGGCTCTGAGGCGAGCTGACACGGCCATGAGGAGGGGCCGTGGGCTTCCAGACCACAGAGAAGTGAAACTCAGGGTGCCTCTCCACCTGAGTCTTCTCTTTACATAAACCCACAAATACACCACACATGACACACACAGAGTCGTGTGCGAACAGGGGAAGCAAGAAGGAGCCGTCCCTAATGGGGGGACGTGGAGGGTCTGACTGCACAGGGGCCACTGGAGGGCTCTGAGCTCGGGGTGGTGGGAGCGCACGCCCACCTGCATATTAATCACAACACAGTGCGGTTCCGTTCTGTCAACTACATTGCCATAGGTTATCTTCAGATGCAAGTTCAAAATCTCTTAAATAAAATGTCATTATTATTGCTTTTCTTACCAGTGTGTCTCTCTCAGTGCAATTTCTATGTGGCAGTTGGAAACACTGCATTTGAGCACGATAATTCTATTGGTAAGGGCTGCGCTATGATGATCTATGTAGTCTTTTTTTTACAAATAATACTAAAAAAGTTGTGGTGTTAGAGAAGAGTATTGCTAAGAAAACGAACAGGTTTGTTCTGGAGAGGGTGAAACCAGGCTGCTCCTTGGAGGCAAGGATTCTGAAGCTTCGTCTGAAATACTTTAGACATGTTGCAAGGAGGGACCATTCCTTGGCAAGGGATGTCATGCTTGGGAGGGTGGAGGGACAGCACAGTAGAGGGAGACCCTTTATGAGGTGGATTGATTCAGTGACTGGGGTAATGGGGGCAGGTGTGTTGGAGACAGTGAGATTGGCACAGGATAGGGCAGAGTTCAGGGCTGTTGTACATAGGGTCGCTATGAGTCACAGACTACTTGACGGCACATAACAACAGTAACAACAACAATACTGTTGATCAGAACTAGAATACATCATAGGTTGGAGAGAGAATTAAGTGTGTGAATGTGTGATCTCAACTTGATAATGAGTTTTGCTGTTCCCAGTCACAGGGTCAATTCCTTTCAAACAACAGCTGAGCTTTCGACCCCTTGGCCGTGGACCCAGATGGCCCCGCACACACACATTGGAAGCACTCTCTAGGATGACTGCGGGCTCACTCTGAAATAAGAGGGAGAAACACAGAGAACAGACCCGCCCAGGCACTCACTGGGGATGCAGCTTGTAGAGGGTCCCGTCCACACCCACGGTCACTTTGAGAGTGTCCAGGCCCCGGTTCTCACGGATCTTGTCCACCACGGCCGCCATGCCTGCACCGCAGAGCTGGGCCGCCCGGCGGGCCACCACGGTGCACACCTCCTTGACGATGATGCTGTCGTCGCAGGTGCTCTCGAGCCCCAGGTGTTGGAGGATCGTACGCACCTGCAGCAGTGCCAGGCAGTCACTGGTGGGGGAAGAGAGCAAGGGTCAGTCAGCACCGGGATGCATGCGGCCAGCTGGGAGTGGGCGCAGAGCCCCCGCCCTCAGCTCACAGCAGAGCCCAGCTCCCACACCCCCCTTCTCAAGGGTGACGGGAGCCCGTGAAACAGCTCCCAGTTCCAGTTTACCGAGAGTGATGCTGCCATCAAGCTAATTCCAGAAACAAAAGAAAATTCACTGTGGACATCACTCCCCCCCAAACAACTGTGCTCAGACATGCAGCCCTCTTCCTCCCAGATCAGCAAAATGGGGGCCTGGAGACCCCTGCTCCCCAATACTGGCTGCTCTGGTGCACTACTATGAAACAAATGCATGTAAGATAGTTGGAATAAAAACCAAGAGGACCATGGCACTGCCTGGGCTCCCATTCTTGGCAAAAGCAGACGTGCAGACGACACACATTCCTCCTACTCACAGAGCCACATGCCCGGGGGCTGCTCACCCAGCGTTGGAGCATCCTCGCCGCGTGAACTGCTAAAGGGCCCTCACAGTCCCTGCTCCCACTCGGGCTGGCTCTCAGCCACTGGACTGGACACGAGGCTGGCCGGCCCATTCCTGAGGCCCTGAGGGTCTATTCTCCACCCAGTCCCATTACCGTGGTCCCACAGCCAGCAGTTAACAAGAACCACCAAGCCAAGCACAAGGACGTCTTACAGATGATCGCGCCCCATGAATATTTATATCCAACCATGATATTTTCCAGCTGTGTCTTATGCACGTGAAAGCTGGACAACGAATAGGGAAGCTCAAAGGAGAAATGACGCCTCTGAACTGTGATACTGGAGAAGACGGTCAAAAGATCAAGTCCATCGTGGAGGAAGTGTAACCACGACACTCCTCAGAGACGAGGAGGCGAAACTTGATCTTGCAGACTCTGGGCGTGTGGTCAGGAGGGGGAGACCTCATGCTGGACAAGGTGGAGGGTCAGAGGAGGAGAGGAAGCCCCTCAATGAGACGGACGGACACAGTGACTGCGACAATAGGCTTGGACGTATCAGAGAGGGTGCGGAGAGGCAGCGTAGGATGGGGTCCGGGGGTGGTGTTCACAGGGTCAACTGGGAGTCGTGGTTGCCTTGAGGACACCCAACAACAACAACAACAGGAGCAGGAAATCTTCCTTCTTTGAGACGGGGTCTGAACCCCCACAGTAACACTATCTGGGCTCAAGCCAGCTTAGTATATGATGCGTTTGGTTTTCTGACGGCGATTCTATATATTTGCTACTAAAAATGCCAACCGTTTGCCTGGCATGTGTGTTGTGGCAGCCCCGACTGAGGCTGACCCCACACACAGCGGACCATGGAGGTGCTGGTTCCGTACCACCTTCCCGGTCAGTGACACGCACGCCCACTGTTGGACTTGCCACCCGACCAGTTCACCTTGTATATCGGTGCACAGCCCAGCCCCGGCCCTCTACCCATAGAAGGTCCTGTAAGCTCTGTGGACGTGAACACCGTCCCGATCTTCCTCGAGCTGTGTGGAATACCTAGACGGCACAAAGAGGGGGCTACAGTCTCCCCCACCACAGCCCAGAAGTGCTCACCTCTCGATCTGAGACAGGAACTTGGTTTCAAAGATGCCCCTGGTCTTGAGGCGCTCTGAGATGCGGCCGCGGAAGAGGAGGCCGCGCTTGGTGAAGTCGATGAGGATGTTACGGACGATCTCTCCGAGGTACATTCCGCTGATCATCTTCTCATACCTGCACGCGGATGGAGCGGGATGCTGAGGGGGGCAGGCCCAGGGCGGGGAGAACGTTCCCACAGAGGGAAGGGAGATTCTTCCCCTTTCACCCGGCGGGGCTCCTGGGCCCTGTGCGCCCTGCTCCGTGACCACCATCACCCTGAACAAGCCCCGGGCCTGAGGCTCACAGGGTTCCCTATAATCAGTCCCACCTCTTGGGATCACTTCCTTTCCTAGACCTATTCACCACTCAAGAAAGGACACACTCCCCCAGCCCCACCACTCAAGCAGCAAGACGTCTTACTCCTCAAGGATGTGGAGTCAGAATCCTTAGCACAGCCTGCTGCCCTTAGAATTGTCACCACTCAGCGTCCTGTGACGACCTCCCTGATTCATGAACACTGCACGTCACGGAACATAAATAAAGCTTTGTTGTCCTGTGGCCCCCACGCACCACTGACCGATTACGGACAGGACCACCGGGAGCCAGAGTTCTCACTGGCTGATTTTCAGAAACAGAGCACCAGGCCTTCCTCCTGCTTCCTGCTAGCACCAGGCTCTGCTGAGGCGTCACAGAAACACAGCAGCCTGTGTGACAGACCAGCCACGGCTGCACTTGAAATGCATGGGCCGGGGCGCAGGAGGTGACACCTCTACACTGATCTCCCAGAGCCCCCACTCCAAGGTCAGGAGCCAGAGCCACAGTGTACCGGTCACAGAACAGGATTAGTCAATGGCCCGAGCGTCTTGGATCCCGGATCCCGAAGAGGGTCTTAAAGTCAGCTGGGGTCTCCAGAGGTAACCACGGCCTTGCTGCCACCCCATCCTGTCTGTCCAGACCTGCCTCCTTCACCCCCAAGACATTTCATGCTCTTTCTGCTCCAGGCAGATGTTCTACGAAATCTATTCTGCGGAACTATGCACATCTGTGTGGTGCAAATGGTTAAACACGTGATTACTGGTCAAAAGGCTGGTGGTTCAAACCCACCCAGCAGTGCCTCAGGAGCCAGGCCTGGCGATGTGCTCCTGAAAGCTCACAACCCCGACAATGTCACGGAGATGGTCAACTCTGCTTATGGGGGGGCCGCCCCGGCAGAATCAGCTCAGTGACAACTCGTAACTACAGCTCTCTGTGGGCGAGTTACCGCGGCCCACCGAGAGAGCCCCTGCCCTCGGGATATGCTTTCGGAGAGGACCTCGAATCTGGGGTGCACGCAGCAGGCCCCACACGCGCCAGAGTGCCTACCTCTGCTTGCCGGGGTTGAGGGAGTGTGTGTCCACGGCCATGTCGAACTCGGTGCGGAAGTCATCCAGGCACCCGTTGTCCCCGAAGGCGCCCCACTCCATGTTGATGCACATGCGGCCCTCCTCGCCCTCCACCAGCTCCACGTTCCTCATCTCCTCCATGTAGCAGGCGTTGCTGCCCGTGCCTGCCAATCAGACGCCTCGGGGTCATGTGCCTGCCCGCCCTGGGCTGGGGGCCCTTAGGGGAGGAGAGCCTCCAGTACAGGGTGGGGTCCTTCCTTCAAACACTCGTAAGTGCGTGCCAAGGAGAGAATGCTAGACGGGGCAGAGCACCCCAACAAGCATGATCACATGAGAGGGCCGAGCCTAGGACCTGGGGAAGATGGGGTGCTGAAAACTGAAGCCAACCCAAAGGCAGTCAGTTCAAATCCACCAGCACCTCCTCCCGGGTGGCTCACAGCCTCTGAAAACCCACTAGAGGGTCCTCTAGGGGCTGGTTCCAAGTCAACACAGTGGGTGAGCTGATGAGTATTATTACTCACCACCAGGAGGGCAGCGTGTGACAGGGGTGTCACCTTTGGAACTCAACCTGATCCCAGAGTCTCTTCTATGCATTTCTCCCCATAGCTGGTCCTGATTTCTACCTTTTGGCTAAATTAAATAGTAAATAAAGCTCTTTCCTGACTTGCCCAATGAGTCCCAGCACATTCCCAAGGCCCAGGGGTTCCATGGAAACCAGTGGCTGGTTGGTTAGAACTGAACTATTGGTGTGTCCCCAGGGTCACCCGAACTTGAGGCTCAAGTGTCTGAAGTCTCGGGCAGGGGTGAGAGTCTGGAGGACTGTGAGGCCTGGCCTGGGGTGCGGCTCCTCTGGGCAGGCCCCTGGCAGGCAGGGTTGTCCATGTCCTTACCGACAATGAGGCCGACCTCGCAGTGCGGGTCCTCATAGCCACAGGTCATCATCGTCCCGACCGTGTCATTCACCACAGCAACCACGTCCAGGTCAAACTCCTGAGAGGGCAGAGCAGATCCAAGTTACAGACGGTCAGTGTCCACGTGGACACGAAGAGACTGTGTGACTAGGAAGCTGCACCACACAGCGTGAAGCCCCAGACACCAGACATAGCAGCTGGACATTATTTGTTCATTGCATGTGGGCTTCGGCTCAGCCGTCAGCTCCCCGCGGACGCTTTCCCTGACGGCACCCCTTAACACAACACAGTGCCCCTCACCAGCCCCACCCACACCATCCATCCTCTGCCCCCCTCACCCCACCCTGCTCCACGTCATTTTTCTTCAAAGCCCCTCACTGCACCTGACGTGAGGTTCTGAGTTTATTTGTTTGCAGAACCCATGTTCTGTGTGGGCCAGCACTTTGTAGAGGCCACTACAGAGCCCTCAGGGCCCAGACACACAGTGGACATGGACTAACTGCCTGATGATGGAGTCATTCTGCCCCCAACCAATGCCAGAACGCTCCAGCCCCTCCACATCTGAACACACGGGCTCAGAGCCCCCGGCGCGTCTCTCACCTCTCGGCGGTGGATAGCTTCCTTCAGCAGGCCCACCACGTCCTCGCCTTCACAGCCTGATGCCTTGAAGCCTTTTGTCCACGTGAGGAGGATGCTCTGAAAAAGAGCCAGACGTGATCGAGGTGAGGGGATCATCGGGGTCACCCCCAAGGGCCCAGTGAGCTTCGAGGCTGAACGGTGACCTCACCCACCGTGACCCCACACTGGTTCTGAAGGCGCAGCTTCTCTGTGCCTGTGACTGAGCTAAGCACAGCCCTGCTTTCCACCACTTGATCCCCACAGCACTCATCACCGTCACCCCCTTTTCAGTAACGGAGGCTCTGGAGGGTCTCCAGCTTGGCCGGGGCGGCCACCAGACCCAAAACTCCCACACGCAGCTCATGGCACCAAGCAGCTGGGCCGTTCGTTGATCTCACATCTCCAACGCCCCCAGCTCACAAAGGCCTCTCTGGCTCAACCACTTAAAGGGGGTCCTTCTCCAGCTCCACCCAATCTACTGTAACCCAATTTCACTTTTCTCCACCGCTCGTAACAGCACCTGGCATTGCTCTGTTTACTGATTTGCTGCACGGGGCAAAGCCTCTCATTTACAGGAGAATTCTCTTTATGATTTGCTTCCCCTGATTCTCAATAAAGACACAGAGAGGCATGGCTTATGGCATGCAGTTGATTGGAACTGCTGGCCTGTTTGATCTCATTCTCAGTCTTATTAATATGCTTTACCCTCGGTCTGCAACAGGACACTGTCCTGAGCCCAGAACAGGAGGGACATGGTGTGAGTGGGAGCCGAACTCAGGTGTTGCAGGGACACCCGAGCTCAGTACTGGGAGACCCTGAACTGAGACCGTGGCCTGGCACTCCACCCCTATGCGGCCCAGAGCAGGGCCGTGGGTCACAGACAAACCCCAACTCACGCAGCTGCTGTGAGGATGACATGAGGTAACGTGTGCACGGGGCCTGGAACCATGCCTTGGGCATTGCCATTATTGGGAACAGATTTGTGCCGGAGACCAGCAGAGGTGTTTTCACCTTAGCCAGGGTCACCCCCTAAGCCCCCACCAACCTTGGCATCTGCACCTCTTCAGCAGAGCCCCCACCCGCCTCCTGCAGACCACGTCTCCCACTTCTCTCTCCTCTTAGCACAATCCTCCCCTCACTCCTCGGTGACTGGCTGAGTCAGGACCCCCACACAGCCCCAGAAGGGCACGTACCTCATCCAGTCTGTTCTGCCGGCACGGGAAGGAGAAGGTGAAGCCCAGAGGCAGGGACACACCCTTCATGCCCATGTACTCGAGGAAGTCGGCAATGCACTGGACGATGTGGTCAAAGAGCTGCAGGGAATCAGGGTTGTGAGGAAGAGCCCAGGGCGGGGTGTCCCTGGAGCCCCAGCAGGAGCCCCACACCAAGAAACACAAGGTTCAGGTGTAAATTTGGGTGAAGACAAGCCTGGGCTCCAAGCGCCCCTGACCCTCCCCAGGTCGCAGAAGCACAGAAGGGCCTGCCGGCCTCTCGTCAGCACTCACCTCATCCCCTGTGCCGTGCATGACCTCCTGCGGGATCGAGTAGATCTTGTTGTGCATCTCCACCCCACGGCGCTTTCCGTTCCGCACACGAACCAGCAGGACCCGGAAGTTTGTGCCCCCCAGGTCCAAGGCCAGGAACTCACCCTTCTCTGGAAAAGAAAACGGGGAGACGATAAGTCTGGGACATCACCACTTCACCCAAGTGAAGAATGACAGTCTATGATGCCTTCCCAGATGAGGGCCTCTCTCTGGAGCCCCTTGAAAGGGGTGATGGGCTACAAGCCCAACCTCACAGTAAAGGAAGCTAAGCATCCCAGTTAGGACCATCTCAGAAGACCGAGCACGCTCACACGGTGGGATCCTAGGAGACACAGTGAGCTCAACAGAACATGCATAAAAACATCCAAGCGCACCATCTAAACTGAGTCAACCAGTACTGTTCGATTATTCTAGAATAGAAATAGGACTAGAGGGCCCAGCCTTGAAGGAAGAGGGAAGGGGACAGTGTGACTTGTTGGACAATAACATGCCAGGACTAGTGCCCACTGTCCCACCTAGTCTTCACCCGGCCTTTGGGCAAGTCCAAGCAGGAGGCACTTCACCTCTCTCTGAGGATAAAGCAAAGCCTGGGTGGGCCTGATTCAGACATTTCCCAAGGGCAACAGAGCAGAAGCCGAACCTCTGAAACCCGCTCTCTGTTTCTCTGAACTGAGACAAGACCACATCTTTTGGGTTACAATTGTCTGTAAAGGGCCTACGAGTAAATTTTTTTTTTAATCATTTGTGTGTGTACCATCATATCGGATCTGACTGGTACAGGAGGAGATTGCCCCTCCTTCTCCAGCAGAGCCTCTGGTGGATTCGAACCATGCTCCTCTGGGATTGCAGTGCAGCTTCTTGCCCTAGGCCACCAGAGCTCCCTAGGAGTAAACTTTATAGCTGGTGAATCTACATTAAGACTACTCCATAGGGGAGTTCTGGTGGCCTAGTGGCAAGGAGCTGTAACCACAATCCCAGAGGTGCACGGTTCGAATCCACCAGATGCTCTGCCGGGGAAGGAGGGACAATCTCCTCCTGTACCAGTCAGATCTGATTTGACGGTACACTCACTAAAGTAAAAAAAAACCCAAACCAAAAGACTACTCCATGTGTCAACAAGCACACACCTAGATAAATGGGCAGTGGGCTGGACTCCAGAGGCCGCCTAGAATTTGTGGACTGGTGCGCAAAACCAATGCAGCGCTTGACACAACTTGTGGGCTTCCATCTGCCCTACTCGAGCTTAGACAGGTTCCCTAACTTCTTTGTGCCAAGTGTATCAGTGTTAACAGTGAAACAGGGGGAAATGCATGAATCACTATTGACCATTATGCTGTGGATTTTCAGCACGAAGTAAGCAAGGGTCTTCACTACTGGAACAACAAGAAACTTCGTAAGAGGTGGAACAAACACTAAAGTTTTCAGGGATTTCATGTTACTTGGATCCATCTCAACTTCTATCAAAGTAGTAGGCAAGAAATCAGAAGATCAATGGTGATTCCTCTTATAAAGCACAGTGTATGGGAATTGGCATACGAAACACAAAGCTAATTAGGCAATGTGTGCAACACAGTGTATGTGAATGAAACACAATGCATACACATTTTATGCCAACCAAAAAATAATAAAAATAAGTCACGAGGTTCCGTAGAGGGTAAGTCTGCTGCAATGACATTTTTTTCAAGTGTTAAAGAGTAAGCATGTTCATTAACGGACTTCACCAGGCTGTAGTGTTTTCAAATACTTCCTATACATTCAGACGTTGGGTAATGAATAAGGAGGACAGAGAACTGATGCCTGTGAACTGTGGTTACCATGAAGAGCCAGATGAACAAGCAAACCTGCCCCAGAAGCAGCACGGGCAGAGTGCTCCTTAAAAAAGCAAGGGTACTGTGTGGGCAGGTCAAAGGGCATCATGGTCTGAAAGGGTTGGGGCACTGCACCCGTGAGCATGGCCATGGCAGGCCCTGAGCACAGCACTGGGCAGTGCTCTGTTCTGCTGGACATGAGCTTGCCAGGATGCAGAACCAACTCAACAGCACCTAAGAACAATTGCCACTGCTTAAATGTTAGCAAAGAATGTCTAGTCAAGCTTCTAAAACACTCAAGGTTCCCAGGTCCAGAACACTGGGCCAGGTGGCGTTCACGTCACGTACCTGTACCATCAGGGGTGGCACACACGTAGGTGGGCAGCATCTTGACCGGGGCAACGTCATGGGTCTCCTTTTTCAGCCCTCGCTTCATTTCCACAGTCATCCTCCTCTTGATCTCCAGCAGCTGTTCGAGGTTCAGCTTCAGAGGCTCCAGGATCTTCTGCCGGGCTCGGTGTTGATCGGCCAGCCGGTAGGCCACGGCCGTCACCATGGCTGCCCCCTTGCCGCTGCCGTCTTCAGAGAGGAGAAAGCGGATGTCACAGTCTGGCACGAGACGCCGCAAAGTCTTTTGGAGACGCTTGGCAAAGCTGCAGAATGACCAAGACAGAAACACAGTTGGCAAGTGGTGTAAAGTGTGGTAAAGAAGCTCACCGCCTCAGCCCAGGTTCTCTGAGCACCTGTCGGAAGAGATGGAGGCCACAACACCCCTTCTTCCTCTTCTCCAAGGCAGAGGCCTCAGACATTAAACTCATGCTGGGTCCTTCCACCCCCATGATGAACAGAAAGGACCCATCTAAGAAGCCACGATGCTTTGCACAAGGGCACGTAAGATTTCCTATTCCTAACGGAATTAGCCCCATGGTTCCTCTGCCCAACATATGTACAACTGGCTCCTTTATGGGAGCTGCCCATATTTGTGAAATCAGATAATTCTAGATCCACTTAATTTACAAGTCTTAAAAGAACCAAAATAGAGAAGCAGCTGGAAATGCTCTTCTCCTTGCTATGTCCACAAATACCCTTCCCCGAAAGACCACCAACTCACGTATGTAAACAGCAAGTGTGCTTTATGCTACAGAACAAAATCCAGCATGCTGGAGGTCTGCCATTTAGTAAAGGGGGAAAATGGCAACTCTGGGTGAGACCGCATAAACTCTTTTTATGGGTTCTATACAATGGAGCTATTTGCTCAGGATGAGGTAATTGGGAACATGATTGGTGGGCAAGGGGATCAGTTCACCCTGGGGAACCAAGGCAAGGGTTTACAGATTCTTGCATTGTATTTGTTGACCCCTCCCTCCTGAGTCAAGAGGAAGATTTTCAATAGAAAGAGCTTGGCTTCGTTTGCATTGAATTCTCTTTGCGATTTACTTCCTGATAATTTTCAATAAAGACACAGGGAAGCTGGAATCTGGTCCTTCGGTCGAGAACAACTGGTATGCTTTCTGTTCTATCTCATTCCTGGTTGTCTGTCTCATCATTAATAATTATAAAAATACTTTACCCTCTGTCTGCAACAGGAGTGATAAAAAGAGCCCCCCTGGCCAGGGTACTTAAGTCTGAACTGTCAATAACTCAGGGAGCTCTCCTATCCACACCAGATGAGCTATCACATCTGGGCTTTTAGTCTTTTATGCCAGAGACTCTCAAAGTCAGGGCTCAAGCACAGCCCATAATGCGAACAGAAACTGACCTGTGCCCTGTGGGGCCCCCCCCCAGGCCCAGTGCCCTGCCTCTGTCCTCCCAACACCCACGCAGACTCACTGTGGGTGCTTCTTGTAGACGGAGCCATCAACCCCGATGGTGGAGCGCAGCCTCTCCTCCTCCCCCTTGTTCTCCTTGATGCGCCGCAGCACGGCCGCCAGGGTGGCCGCACACAGGCTGGCCGAGCGCGTGGACACGATCTGGCAGATACGGTGCGTGGCCACACAGTCCTCCTCGGTTGGCTCCATGCCCAGGCGCACCAGGATCTCACGGGCCTTGCGGACGCCGTCCTTCTCCCTGGGGGACAGAGAGAGCACGTGAGTACTCGTGCACCCGACCAGGAAGCTCCTCGTGTCAGCACCCGCCAGCCCAGGGAGGGCACTCAGCCACTTTTTTGGGGCAGGATGCTGAGGAAGAGGAGGAGGGGAAACGTGACGTGGCAAAGCCTGAGGCCACTCTCCTAGTAGACCCTCCAACACACGCATGCAGACACATTCCTACATCTATGCATATGTCCACATACACACAAACACGCCTATATGATTACACATACATGCACACTCAATACACAAGCACACATACTAACATTCAAAACGTGTGTTTTTGCATAGGCACACTCATACACATATGTCTGTGTGCACATACACATACTTAAACACACACACTCCTGCAACAGAAGCTTACCCTTCAATTTCTGACACGTTTTTGGTCTCAAAGCGGCCCGTGGTGAGGAGTTCTGGGCTGAGCCGCCCCCCGAAGAGCAGCCCCTCCTTGGCCATCTTCACCAGGATCAACCTCACCAACTCGCCCATGTACATCCCGCTAATCATCTTCTCAAACCTGCAAGACAAAAGTCCCTGCTGTCAGTGCACTCATGGACACCTAGCACAGGGGGAGGAGGACGTGGGCTCCTTACAGAGCGAACAGAATGGCCAAGAAATGCCCATGGCTGTGTGCTACTGTCACGTGGGGCTGCAAGGAGGCGAGATAGAGTCAAAGCCTCTAACCTCAGTGGTGTGTAATGACTTTTTATGTTTTATGTTTGCAAGGAGATACTGTAAAGTAAAATACAGCATCAACATTTCTTTTCGAGAGAAAAGGGTCAGGTTGGTGAAATTGGGGGCAGAGACTTGATGACCCTACTTGATGACTACTGAGACTTGATGACACCGACCCGGCCCCTCCTGAGACAAAGGGAGAAGGGGTGACACTGGAAAAGGAAGTGCAAGCAGGGGAACCTGGGAGCCAGGCACCGTGCTGTTCCTGAGCAGGCAGGTGGCAACATCAAAGGCCAGCCGCCCAGAGGGCTTCCGGTCATTTCTTTCTCCAACACTAGGTGACACTACCTTCTGCCTGAAGGAGTCTCTGGCTAGGGATCTGTGACAGGGAACACCAAACCCTTTCGCAATGCTATTTGGCAGAGCAAACCCTTTCCTGGCAGACAAGAGAGGATCTGGGTCCTAGAGAGAGGGGGCACGAGGGCCAGTGAGGGCTAATGGACAGACTGGAGTGAGAAGAAGGTCCATGGAAGAGGGCCAGATGCCCTGGACACTACCTAGCACTGTTGACAGCCACAGAAACTGAGGCCCTCAGGAAGGGACCTGCCCAGGATTCCAAGGCTCCAGAAGGTAAGCTTCTCTGCAAGCGGAAAAGGCTGGGTGCAGAGGTGGGAATGGCCTTTAAAATTTATTCTCATTTTTAGAGCACTTTGCTTCAATCAGCCCTTGGAATATATTTATAGGGAAGCACATCAGGAGAGCCAAGACCGTCCACAATGGCCCCAGGGCAGAGGTGGTTGACAGCATGGCCCAGGTCCTCACAGACTTTGCTTTGTCAAATGACAAGGCCGAGGCTCAGGTGACAATTTTACCTTCTGACACTTCAAAGGGCACATGGCTTAGGTGTGCCACCTTAATGGAGGCGGGTCCAGAGTGGCTTCTCGTCCTGTAAAGCCCTCACCATTAAGACACCACCATGTGAGGCTGAGAAAGTCACAAGTGAACAGGCTCATGTTTCAACACGTGGGAGAAGCTCATGGCTTAAATAAGTTGGACTCTGAGGGAGCAAGGACTCTCTCGTCAAGAAAAATGTGACCCACCACGGGTCTGGCTCGTGGGGTGGGGATTCTCCTCTCTGCATAGAGATCTCCACTAAGAGCACGACTAAAATAACCACAGCCACACAAGGCCCAAGATGAGCTGAGCTGCTCAAAGTGTTTTGCAATGGCCCTCTGAGCCTACACTGACCTTTGTGACAAGATTCTCGACCGGGCACTTTATGAGAGTGGACTCGTGTTTTGTAAGAGTCAGAAATAACTAAGAACCAAGTGTGGCCAGGCTGGAGAGGAACATTCAGGGATTAAACGCTGGCAGCTGTCCCCAGCCTACGCCTTGGGGGCTGCCAGAGACACCGTCAGGACACCGTCATGGGGGCCAGGGAAAGAGGATAAGGAAATGTCCAGCAGGCAGTGGGTCAGCCTGGATCCGGGCATGAGATTCTGGAAGTTCCTGCGGGTCAGCTTAGCTTTAGCCTGTCTAAAGTTTGACCGAGAGTCACAGGTCGCAAGCTAGAAGCTGACCGTGTCCTGGAAGCTATGAAGCTTCAGGTCACATTTCTGAGATCTCAGACGAAGCCAGCTCAAGCCAGCTTCTCTGTGGCTCAAAACTGGCCTCTGCGGACAATTTACAAGGAGAAGGCAGAAGGGGCGAGAGGGCCCCCCAAGCAACAGTCTTGCTTACTCATTCATTTCCACTTACAGTTGCTTCCCCGGGTTCAGCGAGCCCATGTCGATCTCACGGTCAAAGTCGGTGCGGATGTCGTTGAGCGAGCCGTCATCCCCGAAGGCGCCCCACTCCATGTTGATGCACATGCGTCCTTCATCTCCCTCCACCAGGTCGATGTGACGCATCTCCTCCATGTAGCAGGCATTGGTGCCCGTGCCTGCACAGAGCCAGCACCCGCTCAATGCCCAGGCACGCTGTCCCCGGCCCTCACCCCAGCCAAAACGGCCCACGTGGCGGGGCTCCTTCGTGCAGACTCCCGGGGCCCTGCAGTCCATGTCCCAATCCTCTGAGCGCCTCAGAGGGCAGGGCACAGGGCCCCTTGGTTCAATGCAGACCCTTAAAACTCTTGAAGGATGTCCCCAAAACCATTAAGCCAAAGCCTAGTCACCAAGGACAGGACCAGCTTGAACACGCCACTCACGTTCAGACATAGTGACAGGGCCATCCAACCCCCCTTCCCCTCCAGCCCTCTGCCCACTCACCAATAATGAGCCCAATCTCGCAGTTCTGGTCGTCATAACCGCAGGTCATCATGGTCCCCACCGTGTCGTTCACCACCGCCACGACGTCAATGTCAAAGTCCTATGGGGATAAAAGGAGGCCTGTGACCCTGAGCCATCACAGAAAGCTCCAGGTGGAAAGGGGGAGAGAAAGCACAAAGCCACACAGCTCAGGGGCAAAAGCGATGCCCCCCCCCTCCTCGCTAGCTCTGCTCGGAACAAAGTTTAAGTGGAAAATGTGGCTCAGCGTCCAGGCAGCAGCTCCCGGCACGTCCAATGTGTCCTCATCCTGGAGGACTGTCTGTCACTGGAACTGTCTGTCTGTCTGTCCCGGGCCTGGGGGTCTTGTTTATTGAAGAGACCATCTAACCGGGCATCTCTCTCCTAATAACTCCTTCTGGGATAACACCTGTATTTTGACTTCTCTCTGCCTGACTGCTTACCAACCAATGTCAACATCACTCCTCATTTTGACTTAGCAGTGCTATCCACGTCCCCTAAGGTTACTTGTTGTGCTAATTCCAGCAGCAAGTGACAAAAATGATTGTGTAACGAAGAGTGCAAGAAGAAGAAACCCTGGCTTTAAGAGGCACCATGCGACAAGTACAGCCAATCTTCACCTGCTCCAGGCCTCACTAGAGCTGCCACCCTCTTCTTCCTCCCCAGCCTTCTCATCTCCACCTTTCCACACACTGCCCTGTCCGTCCATCATCCATCCGTCCGTCCATCCTCACTCTGCCATTGTTCCACCACTTGTCCTCTTCTAACTGCGCACCCCAGCTGGTCCCCAATCCCACCCTCCTCCGGCAGCCTCTTCCCCTCCCGGTTCATCCTCCCACCTCATTTCCTGCCCACCCTTATCCCGCCTGATCCCTGGATCTCCCTCAGACCCCTTCCTCTCACACAGCGCCAGGCAGGGTGGGGCCTCGGGGTGCCAGGGTTGGGATCAAGCCCCACAATTGCCTCCTTCCTCTCCCCTTTATGTATAATTTAATAAAGAAACAGTCGCACTTCTGGTTGATTATTTTAAAAGAGGCACCACACAAAGTTCTCCCGCTGATTCGAGGCCGACAGGGTGAGAGTGGTCGGAAGGGAAGACCTCCAAAGCTCAAGCCCCCACCATGACTGTGGCCTGCCCATCCAGGCACCCCTACTCACCCCTCTCTTCTGGATGGCCTTCCGGATCAGAGCCACCACGTCTCTGCCTTCCACGCCGCTGCACTTGAAGCCCTTCGTCCACGAGACCAGGAAACTCTGGAGAAAGACCAAGAAATGAACATCAGTTCCCCAGCCAAAACTGATTCCACACCTGAAACGAGTTCTTTGGCAGAGCCAGTGCCACCAGGTTAGACGTCCAAGACCAGGGCTGGGTCTGCGGAGACTGGCCAGGCAGACACACTCGGGTCCTCAGAGACCAGCAAAGTGGACATGACGTGAAAGACTCCTTAATCACATACTGTACTGCTCCGCCACATGGAACAAGGAAACCAGAGAATGGTCAAAATGAGACCGAGGCTAGCATCCACTGACACCAGCCCTCCTGAGAGGCATTCAAATACCAATGATCTTCCTTCATCATACCATATACACAAGTCAGGGCGGGGTCATGGTGAGACACTCGGTCCTGTTGCTATGAGGGGTAAAGGTAATGGTAGGAGAGGAAGAGTCTACGAGCGGAACAGAGGGAGCTCTGGTGGCCCCGTAACAAGAAGCTGCACTGCAATCCCAGAGGCACACGGTTCTAATCCACCAGATGCTCTGCAGGAGAAGGAGGAACAATCTCCTCCTGTGCCAGTCAGATCTGATTTGACGGTACACACACACACAATAACAAAATAAAATTAAAATTTAAAAAAAGTGGAACAGGGTTGATAAAGGCTTCCCATACTGTCATCATTCTTCGCTCTCTCTCAAAGGCTTAGTCACGGAGAAGACAGAACTCTCAACACTCGTCTGGACAGCCCATACACCCTCCCCTCCTCCCAGCCCAGAAGTGACGGCCGAGCCCTCGTACCTCATCCAGCTTGGTCTGGTGGCAGGGGAAGGAGAAGGTGAATCCCAGCGGGAGCTTCTTGTCTTTGATTTGGAGCTGACCCATGAAGTTGGCCAGGCACTCGGCAATGTGGTCAAACAGCTGTGGGGAGGCGACACAAGGAGGTGAGCGGGGTCTGGGGAGCAGCAGGACAGGGCTGCAAGCTCAGGTAGGGGCCAGTGGAAGGTGGCAGGTCCTCCCCTGCTGAGGTCTAACACTGCTCATCTAGGAAGTGGGGACAACAGTACCTGCCCCCCACCCAAGACTACAGAAAATACAGAAAGAGCCGATTGGTGATTGCTGTCAAGTCGAGCACAACACATAGCAACCCAATGAACAGAAGGCCTGAAGCCTTTCTAGAACTCTCAACATTTCTCAGAGTTTGTGGTTTCCAGAGCCGTTGGGGTACTTAGGAAGTGGCCACCACTCCTAGAGGGTAAAGAGTTCCACTGCCAATTCAAATGCAGGCTGTTCAAGCCCACCAGCCCCTCTAGGGGAGAAGGATGGACAGTCTCCTCCTGTGTGATTTACAGCCTCTGAAAAACCCCTGGAAGGTCAGCTCGATGACGTCTAACAATTCAATACGTATGTGCCAAGTCACGGCGGCCACATTTCAAGGGCTTAGCAGCCAATGACTAGGGGCTCCTATTTTGAGCTACCCGCTCTAGCAGGGGCCACTCCACAGTGCAGGATGGATAAAGCTGAGCCCAGTGCAACGGAGGGGACAGAGACCTTCCAGTCCTTGCCCTCCTATTAAGGGAGGATCAAAAGGATGCGTTGCTGGGAATGGTTTAATACCTTCCTGCCATAAAAAAAGGCTCAAAGGGCAGCATTTGGTGAAGCTAAAAAGGCTTCCTTTTTCCTTACTGGTCTGACAACCTGCTCACACCTAAGCTGATGTCACTAAACTTAGAAGCCAGCACTGAGAGAAACGGCAGGTCCCGCCTACAGCCATGCTGCCACTGTCGCCAAGAGCTTGGCAAGGTTTTGGTTCAGTGACTTTGTCTTATTTTTTTGTTTTTTTGTCGTCAGGTGCCATCGAGTTGAGCACGACTCATAGCGACCTTATGAACAAAAGATCTGAACCCAGTCCTGTCCTGCGCCATCCTCACACTTCCTGACACACAAGAGCCCACTGCAGCAGTCACCATGTCAATCCACCTGGTCAAGGGTCTTCCTCTCCTTCACTGTCCTTCCACATTGTATTTAAAATTTATTTCTTTTCCTTCATTTAAAAGATAACTTACATCTATCTAAGAGCAAAATAGAGAAGGGGAAGGGCTGCTTACACAGCCACTGTGGACTTCCTTCCGGACTCCGGGCTGAGTTTTCTGTTGCTTTCAGACATAGGATGTTCTTGCCCTGACTCAGGGTGAATCCGAGATTAAAATTAACCCACCACCAAATAAGTCACAGCGACCCTCCATCAGGATTCCGAGACTGTAAATCTCAACAGGAACAAATGGCCCCCTCGTCTCCCACAGAGTGGCTGGTGGATTCGAACTACCAAACCTTTTGGTGAGCAGCCCAACACATCTCATTCAGTCACCAGGGTTCTTAAGATGAGGCAGGTACCATATAGCCATCAGAGTTTCACATGTCCTAGTTTTCAGATTCATTGTGACATAGCATTTTTCTAGATAGTTCCAAGTCCTTCTATGTACCCTAGAGCTTCTTCTATGCGGGTCTCATAAACTCTGTGTGTGGGTGTGTGTGTAAATACCACTTTGTATTGTATGGAGAAGTTTCTTTATCATCTCCAGCTCAGTGGGGGAAACCAGGGGAGCTGATGTGAGCACGGCATTAGAATGTCATTCCAGAGCTGTCCAGCCCAGACCTGGCACCCTCAGAAGCCAGACACTCCACAAATTCTCCTAATCATCACAAGTTCTCTAGAACAAGCGTGCTTTCTGAGACGTACATATCTGGGTGCACGTGAGCTTGTGTCCTGGCCGTCCAGCTGAGCTTTCCAAGCCCTTGAAAGAATGATGGCTTTGATTCTGGCAGGAGTTAGATTCGAACTGTAGTAAGGACTCGGGCCTGCCTCAGGAGCCCACCGCCGCTCGTTGTAAAGGCAGCAATGGGAGGAGGCTCCCATGCTTTTCCCGACTCATTCTTTCCACTGAGTATGTGGGTACAAAGCACACCTGTAGACGCCACGGGTCCACGGAAACCGCTTACTAAGTAAGAATGGCCCCTGTGGCTTGGGGCCACTGCTGGAACACATGGTGGTCACCACGGGCCCTGCTGGGTTTTTCAGTGTTTTATCAATAGCCTCGCTGCCCTTGTGTAAGACTTGTGTTAGCCAGCCAGGAGGGGAAAGAACAAGCTAACAGAGACAACGGGGCTGGTTCTGTCCTCACGCAACGACACCTCAACTCAGCACAGCCAAAGCCCTGGGGCCTCACGCCCATGCTCCCTGCCTGCAGGAAGAGGACGAAGCCAACCAGCCCAGCCTCTGGGCCCAGAGAGAGCGACCAAGATACAGGCCTGGCTCCTCTGTCCAGGCCTCAGAGGAGCAGCTCCCGCCTGGACAGGGGACAGGGCAGGGAGAAGGGGGTACCTGGGTACCGCTGCCCCGCATGAGGTCCTCGGGGATGGCGTAGATCTGGTTCTTCATCTCCACCCTCTGGAGGCCATTGTCCGTTACTTTCACCCACAGCACCCGGAAGTTGGTCCCTCCAAGGTCCAGGGCCAGGAACTCGCCATGTTCTGGGGAGAGAAGGGGGGCTGTTATTAACTTCACAGAGACCACAGTTTGAAACCTGTGACACCTCCCCGGGTGGAGAGGGACCCGCTCTGGACGGCGGCTTCTGTCAGGCTACACACACGCATGTGTGGAGGACTTTCCAACGCTCAGCTCTTTGAGGTGGCCTTTCTGAGGCTGTCCAAAGACACGGCTCACCCTTGACAGCAGCCGACTGTGGAGCAGCACACCCGCCCCTTCCTGGCCTTCATCCTCAGTCAAGAGCTTCACACCCCAGGGCAGCCAGCAGGTCGCTTCCAGGGCTGGGGGCCCCTGGGCTTCCTGCCAAATCACAATCACATACAGAATTTATCCTGTTTGCATACCACGCTGGAAATGGCCTCAGGCAGGGTGAAGGGTCACATGAGGCAGCGGAATGGGGTCCAGCTGGGCTGTCCAGCGAACAGCAGCTCTGAGCCACCCCTGCCTATCCAGCGCCATCCTCATCACCTCGGCCGTGCTCCGGCCCACTGTGACGGTCACTGGGTCTGGACATCTTGTGTGTCTTCCTCACTCTCTGACCTTCCACTTTCCCCAGATGAAGGGGCTTGGCCAATTAGCCAAGCAGAGGCCCTGAAGAGAATTTACCCCTCTCCCTCCCAAGAATGCTGACTCGCTCAAACCAGCCGCAAAGCCGAAGAGGAAGGAAAAGTGGAACTCCAAAAACGTAGCCAGACACACATGGGCCAGAGGCCTCGCAAGGCTCCTTCCCTCTCGGAAACCAGGGGTGCAGAGCGGAAGTCTCCAGATTCGAGACAGAAATGTGGGCACAGAATGAAAGTGCTGAAGAGGCTGGACGGCCAGGACCGGACAGTGGGCAGGCGGGTCAGGCAGGGGCTCGGGGAAAGGTGGGCCCACTCCAGAACAGCCTCTTGAACGGGTAACGGTTCTGCTCTCTCCCCACACTTTCCAGAAGACAAGTGATGTCCCGGGATCCCATCATTGGCACGTTCCTCAAAGGGGAATGGCAACTGAGGGTCAGGAGACCAGCAAGGGGTCCGTCTGTGCCCATGTCCCCTCAGTAGCTCCAACTTTACCCCAGAAACCACCACGCAAGTCACCCACAGAGACAGCATCCAACAGAACCCCCACCCCGTCCTGGTGGGGACAGATCCGTGGGGAGGGGGGGCTTGTCAGTAACCCCCACAGAGCTGCCTGGTGATTCCAGAGCCTCACACTACGCCTGGCCTGCAGCCTGTCAGCTGTAAAATGGGAACGGTCCCTGGGTTGTGACTACCCGTTCTAAGTACAGCCCCAGAATCTGTGAATCAACCTCCAGAAAACCTATTACATTACGAAGTGGAGGTGCAGAAAACGACCTGCAATAATAAATGGTGCTACTCTGCAAATGAGCATCGGAACATTATTAATAATAGAGTAATGTTAAAGACGGCTTAGTATATCTGGAAGTGCTCCTTTAATGATTACACACACACATGAAAAACGTCTATATAGCATGCTTATATTATATATAGACATGTCTGGTGGCTGCGTGGTAAAGAGCTGCACTTGGTTCAAATCCACCGGCTGCTCCACAGAAACCAATCCCTGATGAGTGATTTACGGAAAGTGCGCTGGAGGGTCAGCCAGGGGTTGGCCCCACTCCACAGCAACAAGTGTACACACTCTACTCAGACAAACATCCAGGGCTGTGCCCCGCTATTCAAACCAAGGTATGATCCCTATTTCAAGACAGCCTTGGGAACAGAATGCTATGTAATCCAGGAACTGCCCACGCACTGGCCCTCCACATCACCGGGAGGTAAAAATGAGAAAACACGCTTGGAGTCCCAGCGCCCAGCGCTCAGGGCTCAAGGCACAGTCCACAGTCAGGCAGCTGCCAGCAAAGCCTGCCCAGTGCCCACTCGAGGCCCAGGGCCCAGGGCGAGGGCTGCTCTGACTGCTAAGAAGCGAAGTCAAGGGCAGGGAGACAGGAGGACCTCGTCCAACAAGAGCCCTCGGGACCGGCTCCAGGGGCGTCAGCACTGCTCCCAGGGGGAGTCACCAGGAGCCTGATGGCTCACGTGCACCGCCCGCCGGGCCCAGCCCTGACCCCTCCTGAGGTCACTGTGCCCGCGGGTGACACTTCCAGGCGCTGGGCGCCCGGGCCTTCCCTGTAGTGGGCCCACAGCCAGATTCCAGGAAAAGCGGTGTGGCGGCTGCCACAAGGGGTGAAAAGGGAACCCGGGGGGAACTGCCTGCATCAGCACTGGGCGCTTGGAATGCTCCAGAGCCGCTGAGTCGGCTGCCGCGGGCAGTGAGGGCCAGGCTGCCCTGGGGTTTGGAGGGGGCCTCCCCGGGAGCCGGGGGCACCGTGAGGGGCAGCTCAGCATTTCCTGACGGACACCACTGAGGGCGAGCGGAGGGGAGGTTCCAGTTGGGGTTTCCAGGAGACACTGGGATTGAGCCCACTAATCGATGCAGTTAAAGCTGTAAACCAAAATGTGCAGGTATGCAAACCAACAAAACTTGCAAACTGTCCCTCACAACCAACAAGAAGTGGACAAAAGGAAAGATACTAAGGATTTTTTTAAAATGTCCTATATTGGTTCTGTCTTATATTATATATAGTCTCCTTTTCTTTCCAAAGCAGGATGCCTGGATTAAAATGAATAGATGTCAAATGAATTTTATGAAAGTCAAGTAATTCTTTTCTAAAATGTATCTAAGAGTTCTCCAAATGTCTCTGTGAGACAACAAACAGTTCATTGTGTTGGGTTTTCTCAATGGACGGGGTTGAGGGGGTGGAGAGGTGGGACAGGAAGGACAGTGATTCTAGCCCCGGAAGAGAGGCTGGCCCAACTCTCCTGACTGCTCTGGACCAGACCCATGACGGTCACCACAGCCAGAGGCTCCCGAGGCTTGGACATGACAACGGAGCCAAGACCTGAGGTGACCTCTGGGGACCCAGCATCAGACGGGCAGGCCTCATCAACAGCGTGGACACATCACTACCCGGTGGCTGTGGCCTTTCTGAGCCCGTCGCCTCACCAGAAGATGGACCTCACTTCTCCCCGCACTGGTGGGGCTGATGGGGGCTACGGGCAACACTCCACGTGAACAGACAGGCATAGCCTTGTGGCTGCCAGCTATGATCTCGATTCTGACTCCTGGTGACCTTTGCAGAGGAGGAGATGTCACCCCGTCCTGCTCCGTCCTGCCATTTATGTCCGTTGGTGTGATCGCTGCACTGAAGGAAAGTTTCCCTCGATTTGTTGATCCTCCACCTGGTCGACCACAAGGCCGTTCAAATCCTTGGTCTCTCCGAATGTGTCCAAAGTACATGAGTGGGAATCTGGCTCTGCTTGTCCCTAAAGCACCTACGGCTTGTTATTTCCACTAAGACCAGTTCTGGACGCCCATGGTGGGTTCAGTGATGTCCATCAAAGCCACAGTCCAGATGCTGCATCATGTGGCCCCTGCAGACCCCACCTAGTCCAGGCTCAGGACCTACCACCTCCACAGTGAACTTCTGGAACCTTCCAGAACCCACCACAGACGTGGGTGGGGGAACACACATAGCGACGGGGTTGGGGCAGGCCGCCTAGGCAGGGCAGGTGGTTGGCATGGTCTAGGAGGTTTCTTAAGGAAGCACAAAGCCACCTGGCCGAGGTCCCAGTGAAGTCTGGACAGAACATTCTGTTGAGCAAGGACGGTCGCATCTGAGGCAACAATGAAGAAACCTTCTGGGGGGGAGGGGGGCAGGGAAAGAAAGACAGCGAGACCGAGAGACAGAGACAGAGAGACAGAGGGACTTCCTCTTTGACCGCCCACCTTTCCTGCCATGAGGTCTTTTTCCAAGGACTGGTGTAGGATTAGATATTGAGATGTTCAGTGGCCTTTTTCTCTTCCTAAGAGTGGTCTATTTGTGCCTTTTTTCAAGCATTCACTATTGTCTTCTCCTCTCTTTTCTATCTGCTTATTTTTCATTTCATTTTTACCCTGACTTGTCGAAAAGCCTAGACTGCCAATGAGTTTTTCCATTTAACAATTCACACACATTCGGCTCAGTCAAACCAATGTCAAGGTTCCCAGTATCATCACTCCTTTAACTTCCCATCTGTATTTCTGATTTCTTTTCATTGGGCCTTATTTTCTTTATGGTATAAAAGAGCTTTTCGTATATGAAGGAAAGTGGCTTTGTCGGGTAGACAGACCTCTGCAGTGATTTTCGCCCAGTTGGATGGTTATATCTTCATTTCGTTTTTGATACACATGCCATTCAGATAAGTGTATCTTTTAGATCATGGAAATGTCATAAGCTTAAAACTCCCGAGGAACGAGATCACGTCCGTGCGCTGGCTCCTCTGACCCTCTACCTCCTTCCTCTTAAGCGTGGCCACTGTTACTACAGACAGCAAGCAAAGTCTCCTTTTGGATTTTCTTGGAAAATAAAATAAAACACTAAGCACTTAATAAAGTACTACTGATGGGTTAAGATAAATAACTAAAACCCTGCATTTATCTTGGACTTCCTTATCCAGTTTCATTTCTCTGGTTCCCAGGACAGAGTTCAGACTTTCTGCCATCTGCAGACTGGGGTAATAAAATAATGAAAAGATCCAACAGAAGGAGGGAGATTAGGATGAAGGCTCCAACAACGGTCATGAACAGAAGAGAAACTACCCTTGCTGGCGGGGGTGGGGCACTTTGTAAGCGTTCTCTCACAATCTTCACCAATTCTGTCAGACACCGTGTGCCCGTTGTACAGATGGGCAAGCCAAGGCTGGAATCGTATAAACCAAGGTTCAAATCCAGGTCTGGCCCTCCAGTGAGCTTTTCCAACTATGATGAATAACGAAAAGGAAAGCTATAATCCCCAAATCAAGACTCCAGCAATATCAGGCGTGTAAAGCCCAGAGCCATCCCCAAGCTGGCCTGGGCCCCAGAAGTGTCTCTGATGCTGAGTCACTCGGCTGGGGTCAGGCTGGGTCCGTGGGAGCTCCACACCCGGCCCTTCCTCGTG